GTTTCATTGTCTTCATTGTGTTTCATTGACGTTGTCTTAGTTTGGACTGAAGCGATGCTCTCTGAGGGTGAGCTTCGCTTTAATCTCTGCAGGCCAGCCACATCCCATTTCAACAGTTATTTTCTGATGCACTCCACAGCGTTTAGAAAAAAGAATATCGTATTTCGGCACGCAGCGACAAAGTGTGCAAAATATATAAAGCTCGGTGACCTCCGTCGCTTGTGTACTACATCACTTGACCCCTGAGAAGGAAGATAAATCTTGAATGGGGAGAGAAAGCCCTGCCAGTGCATTTCTATTCACACAGTGCAGTGGCTGCGGGGATAAGCCATCTCATCAATCATAACCGTGGCACTAAATATTTTCTATTGACAGAGGCTGTATTACAGATCCGAAGACTCTAGGCTCGTTAAAGAACGGCCATCAGGGCAGATGAAGCCTCAGTCATTGCACAGACCATGTGTCACTGCGTGTCCCTGTATTTCACCCACAGGGCTGCGTTTCCAAAGGATTTACGACCATCGTTTCCATTCTCTCCTTGAGGATCTTGGAGCCTAATGAGCCATGAGGAAAACACCTGCAAACACTGTTAGGAAAATAAAAAAAGGACAGTATCTGAATACAAACCAACAAACTTAGCGTTATAGACATCTTTAGAAAAACACTGTGGAAATAGTTGACCAACCCAGTGTAGCGTGCTCTCTGAAGGCACCAGTTCTGTCGGGTTTGGGCATTTACTGGGACAATTATTAATTGTAGCAGTAAATCACAAAATGATTCTTTTGATGGCCTTAGAATCCAACCATGCGATATAACTCAAACAACGCACACACTTAGGTACTAATACACGAGGATACATTTATTAATACATAGAATATGCATATAAACCTAACAGATCTTATCGAGAGGGTTATCAGAAAACAAAAGGTATATATTCAGTCAGTTACGAAGTGTTACATATATCAAGAGGACATACGTTCAGTATATCATTCATTTAGACCGTTTCGTAAATGAACTTGGTTATAACTTCT